TTTTTTTTTTTTTTTTTTTTTTAATATTGGGGATTGAACCCAAGGCCTTCACACTGAGCCACATCCCCAGGCCTTTTTTTATTTTTTATCATGAGGCAGGGTCTTGTTAAGTTGCTAAATTGCCCAGCCTGAGTTCGTTCCTGCTGCCTCAGCCTCCCAGCATGCTGGGACATTATTCATGTATTCTATCACTAAAGTTAAAGTTTGGCCAGGAGTGGGGGTACACACCTGAAATCCCAGCACTCTGGAAGCTGAGGCAGGAGGATCACTGTGAGTTCAAGTCCAGCCTGAACTGCATAGCAAGACCCTCTCTCAAAAAAATTAAAAAATAAAGTTAAGGGTCAGGGATTTAGCTCAGTGGTGCCATCTCTAGCCTCTCCAGCACAAGGTCCTGAATTTGATCCCTAGTACCTAAATAAATAAATAAGTTAAATTTTCTTCACTGAGGAAAAGTTCTAGTTCCTTACATACCTCATCATATGACGAGGCTTAGAAATCCATCAACATTCCTGTTGCCTTCCTCTGTTTTCCTTTTACTTATCTCTTAAAGCATGGCGTGTAGTACAGGCAGGGAGTATCATACTAATACAGGGCAAGGATTCTGGATTACACAATCTGGATTTCAATGCAGTCTTTACTACTTACTACTTGGATGACTGTCAGTGCATAATTTATCCTCCCTGAGCTTCAGCTTCTTCACATTTAAAGTACAACTCATAGCCAGGTATAGTGAGTAATGACTGTGATTCCAGCTCCTCAGGAGGCTGAGGCAGGAGGATCTCAAATGGGAGGCCAGTCATAGCAACTTAACAACACCCTATCTAATGAATAATAAAAATTTAAAGGACTGAAGATGTAGCTTGCTAGTAGAGTATCCTTAGGTTTAACCCCCTACACCCCCTCCAAAAAAGTGCAGCCAATAATAGAAGGGTAATTCTTGTGGTTTAAATCTAAAATGTCCCCAAAAAGTCTCATGTTCAGAGGTGGGCCTGGCCAGAAAGGGCATGTCAGTGGGAGTATGACTTAGGAGGGTGTCTTCTCAGCCCTGAGTCTTCTTCTCTTTCTCTGCTTCCTGGTCACCATGGTGTGAGATGCTTTCCTCTGCCACGTTATCACCATCCTTCCTGCCGTGGGGCCTGCTCACCATGGACTGAACCATGAGTCAAAATAAACCTCTCCTCTGTAAATTGCAGGTGTCACAAATTGTGCCTCAGCAGCAGGAAAGTAACTAAAACAATAGTTGAGTGGATTAAAAGCCATCATCTATACAATGCCATGACCAGCAGTTATGAATGCATTCACCCTTCCCACGGGGTTTCTCGAGTGCCCACAAGTGCCAGGCATGGTTTTTGGTACTGAGGACATAGCAGGAAACAAATTGATCCTCACCCTCATGGAACTTACATTCCTGTGACAGAGGAGGCAGTATATATGGTAGATAAGTGAGTAAAATGTATATTGTACTGGGTAGTGGCAAGTGCTAAAAAGGAAGTTGAAGGAGAGAGAAAGTATTTTTTTTTTCTGTTTGGTTTGCAGTGCTAGGGATTGAACCCAGGGCCTTTGCACTGCATTACATTTCCAGACCTTTTAATTTTTTTATTTTGAGGCAGGGTCTCACTAAGTTGTCCAGGGCTTGAACTTGTGATCCTCCTACCTCCATCCCTGAGTGCTTAACTGCAGGTATGAGCCACCACTCCCAGCTTGGGGATGTAATTTTTGATATCATAGCCAGGGAAGGTCCCATTGAGAACATGAGGCTATGAGGGGATAGGAAAAAGAGCATCTCAAGCAAAAGAAACAGCAAATGCCAAGGCCCGTGGTGAGATCAAGCTTCCTGGACTAAGGGACAGGTCATGTGACTGCAACAGACTGTGAAGAAAAATAGCAGGAAAGGTGATCAGACAGGTAACAGGGCAAGATCCCATAGTGCTTTGTAAGTCACCAGAAAGGCTCTGGCTCTTACTTACTATATTTATTTCTTTATTTTGGGGTTTTTTTTGGGGGGGTGTTGAGATAGCATCTCATTATGTAGTTCAGACTGGCCTTGAATTCACTATGTAACCCTGGCCCTAGGCTGGTCTTTGAACTCCTGTCAATCACCCTGTCTTAGCCTCCCTAGTGCTGGGATTACTGGCTCTACCACACCAGGCTAAATGTTCATTTTTTTACACTGCTAAAATTCTGGGGAATGCATCAACTAGCAGTAGATACTTAACTTAGATTTGAGTACCCAAAACAAACTGTTGCTATGTAAATAAATAAATAAATAGAATGTAAAAGTGACTTTAGAGCCAAGGATTTAGCTCAGTGGTGCCACCACCTGCTTTGCAAGCACAAGGTCCCAAGTTTTGGTCCTGAATTCCCAGTACAAAAGAAAAAAAAAAAAAAAAAGTGACTTTAGTGCAGGGGCACAGTGGCACAGGCCTATAATACCAGCATTTGGGAGGCTGAGGCAGGAGGATCATCACAAGTTTAAGGCCAGCCCAGACTATATAGTAAATTCAAGACCAGGCTGAACTACACAGTGAGAACTTACCTTAAAAAGCCAAAACTCTCCGGCCAGAGATTTAGCCCAGTGGTTCTGCCGACTGCCTAATAAGCGCAAGGTCCCATGTTCAATCCCCAGTACAAAAAAAAAAAAGCCAAAACCAAACCAAACAAAAACACAAAAACTTTGGAATCAGGCGAAAGGCAGATGCTGAGAGGGTCAGACATTTAGCTTAGTGGCATGGCACCTGCCTTGCAAGCGCAAGGTCCTGAGTTCTATCCCTGGCACACACGCGCGCACACACACACACACACAAAGATGCTGGGAAGACTCTGAGAAGTTAGTATAAATTTAAAATGCCTTAAAGCATCTATAAATAGAACAATAATAGTCTCTATTTTGCACAGTGCCAGGAATCAAACCCAAGGCCTTGTGCACAGGCTAGGCAAGCCGCAAGAGCTATATAGAGCCTCAGCCCTGTAAGGACCTTTAAAAAGGGAGCCAGTAAAGATTTAAAGAGAAATGAGAAGGTGTTTTGAAACTGGAAGAAAGAGGAGCCTTGCTATAGAGCGAGCTTAGCATCAGCAGTTAACCTCTAGTAATGTAAAAAGCAGAAAATCCAGATAATGACTGAGAAATCTAAGGAGATTTTCAGGCAGTGTTGAAGGTGACACCTGTTTTGTTTTTGCTGTAGTAAAGTGTGAGAAAAGGGAGATGAGCTGGGGGAAAATACTATTTTCAAAGGAGCCAGAAGCTGTGGGGTGGCACATGCTTAGAAGCCCAGCTAAGAGGCTGAGGTGGGAAGATTGTAAATTCAAGGCCAGCCTGGGCCATTTAGCAAGACAAACACAAAGGGAGCCAGAAATTGTTGGATTTTAAATCAGCATTTCCAGATAGCAAATTATGCTAAAATTCAAAAATGGCTCTTGTGGGGCTAGGGATTTAGCTCAGTGGTGCAGCTGCCTGCCTCACAAGCTCATGGTCCTGAGTTTGATCCCCGGTACCAAAAAAAAAAAAGGCTCCTGCGCAGACATCAAATCCTGGGTAGTCTCAGGAAAACACTGCATCAGGCCAGGCCAGGCATTATGGTGCATGCTTGTGATCCCAGCACTTGGGAGGAAGAGGCAGGAGGTGTGTTAGACACATAGAGAGGAGAAAAACCACCTGGGCAGACTTCCTGTGAGCAACAAGGCTTGGGGTGAGGGGCTGAGTCTGAAAGGGAGTCAGCCCAGAGCAAGGGGAGAGCAAATGTTTTTAAGGGGGAGGTGGTTGGCACACATTGGGGGCATTGCTGGATATTAGTCT